CACCCGCTGGTCGCCTTCCCGCCGCCCGCGTTCAACGATGCGCCAGAGCGCGGTGCTTTGCGTGGCCTTGAATCTCCGCAGGTCTTCTGTTCGCGGCGTCCACGCTTCAGCTGCCCACGGCGCGCTCTCTGTGACCGTGGCGCCAAACAGCCTCGGGCGCTGTTCAACGAATGCGATCTGTTTGACAGCGAGCGCGTCAAGTCCATAAGTTTCCCCCGCCCAGCCACGGCCCAGTTGTCGCCCTCAGCTTTGGTAGCGAAGGTTCCGAATAATTCCACGCGCTCTCCCTCCATCAGAACATGAACGCAGAGGCCGTCAGCAAACGACGCCTGGCCCCTCCGCTTGAACTTCGGCCGGTTGGTCTTCACCTTGCACTTGCTCGGGCGCAGGGACAAACTCCCCCTCGCTGGAGCACCCCTTTGCAGACAGAACGATCGGCTTGATAGAATACCAACTTCGCGCGATCAGGGTCTGACCATCCACGAATGCCACGCGGGTGAAACGATGGCCCCTGAGGTCGCGCCCAAGATTGGCGCCAAAACCTCGTCTTCTCCAAGCCGCGCTTACCTCGCGCAAAACTTTGTCCATATCAACAATGAACAATGCCCCCGATAAATGGTCGCCTTGCGTCGCGCCCTCTTGCGCCGCAAAACGCCGGCTCTCCGCGCCGCCGCAAAGCGTGACATAGACCCCTCGACGCCGCGGCGCAGGTGCCGCGAGGCGCCCGCGCCAGGCGGAGTGATATCCTTCCTCGTCACAGCGTCGGACAAAACCGCACGGTGGACTCTGTCAGATGCTTCTTCCACATCCAAAGCGGCAAGACGCAATTCTTCGGCCTACCCCAGCGACTTCTAAACAACCGTTCGAACAGCGTCAACTGCATGTGCGCATCCCCTCCCCGGTCTGACACCGAACTGCTCTTCTGACGGCTCGGGATCGACGCCCGCGGCACGCCGGCGATGCAGCCCGGTTCTGAGCGGATTGGCCATCGCAGGAATCAAAACTATCGGTCGATAATCCTTGGCGGAGAACTCATCGCCCTTCGCGAACAGGGCCCGGAATGTCGTGGCCATTCATTCCGTTGGCGGCGCCGCAGTTTCAGAGGCAGCTGCGTAGAACAAAAACTCTGCGACGAGGCCCAGTAGCCTCGAATGCTCTGTTATCAACATTTCTGCCGCCAGCCCATCGCCAACCCCAACTCTGCCATTCTTTACTTGCCGAGCCGCCTTCGGCAGCTCCGCCCCCGCGACGCCGTCGGCGCACTCGTGGGTCCGAGGCGCGGGCCCGAGAGGAGATTTCGCAAATCGACGCTGGTCTCTCTGGGAGACGCCGCCCTGGTGTTTGACGAACACGGCCCGGCCCGTGCCTCTGCGTCTCTTCTGCGCCCGGCGCAGCGCCTGCAGACCAGCGCCCTCGACCAGTAATGCTTCCAGCTTCATGTCTCGTATTTTCCGCCGCTATCGACGCAGCGCCCCCCAGATCTGTTTGGAAAGAGCTCGCCGCATGTCTGGGGCCGCCTCTTTCCGGCGCTCCTCCGACGCGACCGCGAAGTGGCGACCGTTGAACCGCCGACGCCCCCCGAACGCTGCATGCGAACACTCGGGAAGCACAGCTCAATGCCAGACTGTAGAGCGGATTCAATCGCACTGAATGTCCCGACCAATTCTATAGCGCCGTTGGAGCAGTACGCGACCACGCAAACATCATCGCTCTCTGGCCGCGCGTCTGGCAGACGACAATACGAGATTGCAGAGGCCTTTAAATTGCATTCAAAGCGCTCCAACGTCGGCCCAATTTGACCCGCGGACGCCTTCAGACAGCTCGACGACAATCTTAGAGAGTCCCAGGGGGGCCCGAATAGCTCCGATAAGTTCTCGAGGCGGCGCCCCCGAAACATGGGGTCCCGAATTGTTCCCCGAAGCGCGCCTGAGCAGCTTCGGGGGCAATTCCAATGGCGCGGCCAAGCTGTGCCGGGACGTTCGGCCGCGCAGGCGCATCCAAAAAGGCAGGCGGTGATTCGCCGTGGGCGTCTTCGATCCGTCGCCCCCTTTTGATTTATCATGGGGGGGGGGGGGGGGGGGGGGGGGGCCTGGCGTGCTGAATTTTGGGTTGTGCGTGGTTCTCTTTAAATGTCCCCCCTGGAGCTTCGTCGACCCGGCGCGCTGCGCTGGCCGCCCGGAACCTCTTCCGAACGCATCTCCGATCGTGTTGCTCTATCGAGGTGGCCCCCAAGACTGCCAAGATTGCCTCCCGGACAGCCAAGGTGGCCCAAAGAGGGTCCAAGATGGCCTCCGAGATGGTCCCAAGATGCCTCCAAGACCGCCCAGATCGTCCAAGAGAGCCCAAAACGGCCCAAGAAGCCCCCGAAGCGGCCCAAGAGGCCTCGAAAAGGTCGCCCAGGAAGGCCCAAAGAGGCACAAATCATTGATTTGCCGTTGTTTTCCGAAAGATGTCGGCGCTCGCTTCAAAAGGACCATAAGGCGGCCCCAAGAAGGCCCCTAGGCGCCCCGAGAGGCGTTGAAGACGCCCAAGATGACCTCCAGGACGGCTCCTCAGCGCTCCAGGAGAGCCCCAGATAGCACCAACATGTCTCCAAAGGGGTCCATGATGCAGCCAAGACGGCCTAAGCCGGCCTCTGGATGGCCCAAGATGCTCCAAGACGGCCTAAGATGGCCCCAAATTCACCCAAAACGGCCCAACAAGCTCCCGGAAGGCCTGCAAGACGGCCCAAGACGCCCCAACAAACGCAGAAAGTAACCCCAAGATCGGGAAAGAAGGTCCAGGAAGCCCCCAATACGCCCCCAAGATGCCGCAACACGGCCCAAAAGTCCACCACGACGCGCCTCCAAGACTGTCCCAAGACGCCTTCAAGACGGATAAGATGGCCCCACCCCGGCCCTGACTGGCCTCAAGACGGCCCGAGAGGCCTTCCCAGAAGCCCAGATCCTTGACTGTTCCGTTGGTTTTCTACGAGTTCAATGTTCTCGCCTGTTCTGGCTTCCCAGATCCTCCCAAGGCGGCCCAAAGGGCCCCCGAGAGGCTCGCAAGATGGCCCGACATGTTTTTTTGACCTCAACAAGTTCACCCCATACATCCTGGGACACCTCCACGAGCGCCACGGAGACGACCGCGATGAGCCAGAACGCCGACGCGAACGCCACGACGACCGCGAGGAACCCGAGGAACATTGAGAACAGCACGGGGGGGCGTGCTGCCACGGCTTCGATGTGCCCACGTGTGCCCTGCTAGATGTCGAAGCCGTCCAAATCGCACTTGTCGAGCGAGTCGCCGTCGTCGTCGGGAGACTCAGAGGGGCTCCACGCGAAGAGACGACCAGCAGCCGAAGACGATTGAGGGCCTAGCACAGCAGGATCGCGAGCTGCAACACCGTCAGAATTTCCCCCGAAGAGCAACCCTTCACCAGGGTCGTGAGGCAGACCCACTGGCGCCCACGCGGCATAGAAGGAAGAGGCAGGCTGGGCAACAGGGCCGCCCGTCTCCACGGACGGCGCCTGCTCGCCGACCGCGTGGCCAGCGCCGAGCACCGAGACCAGCTCCTTTCCCTTGGCGTCGCCACCCTGAGCCGCCGCGCCGCACTCCTCGCTCGAGGCCGCCATCCGCGCCAAGCGCTGCACGAACGGCTGGGCGACTCTTCCAGGGCGCCCCCGCACCCAAAGCAGTCGCTGCTCCTCGATATCCACCATGTACTTGCTCGTCGGCGAAAGTTCCTCAGGCACGATGGGGTCGCACAGCTTAGCGCCGGACCTCTCCACGAAAACTGCCTGACCCTCAGAGCCGTCCGCCGCGGGGGGGTGGGGCCGCACGGCAGGTTGCTGGCAGCACTGCTCCTCCAGCTCCTCGAAGTCAACGGGAACCACATCCACGATGACCACCGCGGGCGCCTCGGGCAGCACGCTCCAGACACCAGGCACGCACTCCGCCGCCGACGCCGAGAAACAGAAGGTGCCAACGGGAGAAGCGTCGCGCCGTGCCTCGAGGCGAGGCCCACTCTGAGCATGGCGGAGCGTGGAAGCGTCCGCCGCTGCCACGTCGATCCCCTCTGCATCTGCATGTAGGGCGACGTTCCTCCGTAACTTCTCCAACCAGCTGGGCACCTCGCCACGCAGCATCGCCATGAGGGCAGGCATCAGGGCCTGCACCCGCTGGGCCAGCTCCGCGTCGCCGAGGGGCATGTCCAGGGCCGCCTCTGCCGTCGCCAACTGGACGCGGACGGCCTTGAGCTCTCCAAGGCTCCTGGCCACGGCACGGTCGGCAGACCAGCGCGCCGAGGCACGCGAGGCTCGGCGAGCTTCGGCCGAGCGCTCTGGGCGGAGAAAGGCCACGCCCTCCCGCGCCATCCTCGAATCCGGACCACCTCCAGCAGCGCACACCAGTCGCACGTGACGAGCCAGGTGGAGCCTCAGGGGGTGCGCCCGAGTTGCTTGAGCCAAAATGGCTACGGAGCAAGATGGCCCGAGAGGGCCCCTAGGCAGCCCAAGAGGCCGCCAAGACGCCTTCAAGACGGCCCCAGATACCTCCGAGACGGCACTCGAGCGCCCAAAGAGGGACCCACGACTGCACAGGAAGGGCCCTAGACGGCCTCCGAAGGCTAGCAGGCCCTCAAGGGGCCACCAACAGGCCTGAAAAGAGACCCCCCACGTGGCCCCAGGAGGCTCCCCGAGAGCCCCAAGAAAACCTCAACTGGCGTCCTCTTCTTCCTCCTCCGCCTTCTCGCCCTCTCCTCCTCCGATCTCGTCATCTTCCCAGCAGTGTTCCTCTAACGGGTTCCACAACGGCTGGGGGAACACATAGTCCAATAGCTCGGCCTGGCTTCGGCCCACCGTTTGGCCGCATGGGCGTTTCCAAAAGGGGGGGGGGCGGTGATTCGCCGTGGGCGTCTTCGACCAACTCAGTTTCTCGGATCTCCGCGCGGACCGCCGAGACATGTTGTTTCTGCCGTCCCGCGTGCGCGCCGCCAAATTTGGGCCGATGGCGGGAACCTCCTCGCCCCGCCGTGGTCGCCCGGGGGCCCCACCCTGCCGGCGCCGGGCCGCCGCTCTTGCCATCCGCCGCCCTGCTGCCTCCTCTGCTGGATGCGCTGCGACCCGCTGAGGCCCCGCGGCCCGCCCGGCCCGCCCATGCTGCTCGCCAGAGGAGGGGGGCGCTGCGCGGGGGGCTTCCCGCGGAGCTCTCCGCGGCAGACCCAGGTGTCCGACGATGTGATCTGCTGTCTCAATGATGGGCCTGTTTTCCACCACCACCACCACTATAAGTTGGATGGGGAGGGGGTCCTCCTCCTCCTCCTCCTCCTCCTCCTCCTCCTCCTCCTCCTCTTCGTCCTCCTCTTCGTCCTCCTCCTCCTCCTCCTCGTCCTCCACCTCCTCCCCCCCTCCAACGTATGGTGATGGTGGTGGTGGTGGAAAACAGTCCCATCACTCAAGGTTGGGTGTTGCTAGAAGTACCCCTGGCCCAAGGTGCCCCCAGGACTCTCGGGGTGGCCCGGACGGCCTCCAGAGCACCCCTCGCGAGGACCTCACGGGCCCCACAATGGAGCGAACAGCTGGGGGCACCTTGGGCCAGGGGCACTTCTAGCCACACCCGGCAAGGCCTGAGGCCTTTTGACGCCTCCGTCGGGCCTCGGCGGCTCTTCTGCCTCGGGATGCCTTCCAGCTGCTGCGCCTCGCCGAGAGCGGTCTGGGGCTGCCCGGAGCGTCCCGAGCGTCCGCCGGACGCCCGAGGCATGGCCCGGAAGCCATCCGGCGGCGTTTCCCTCGACGTCGAGCTCCGCGCGGGCCTCAGCGGGCCCTCGGGGCCACCGGGAGCGCAACAACCGACCCGCGGGGAAGGGGTCGGGAGCCCTGGGGCCGCGCAGCGGGAAGAAATCACATCGGAGGATGCCTGGGAGCTCAGCATCGTTAGACCTGAACCCCCTCCCCACATGGAGAGCAGGGATGCCCGTCACCAGATCTGACTACCTACCAGACGACCCCAGCCTGACCCGAAGACCCGCATTTCGGGCTGCGGGGGGTCAAGTGCGGGCTTCGTGCGTGCTGGTTCAATGTTCCCCGCTCCCCCCTCCCCCACTGGAAATGGAGGGCAAATCGGGGCCTTCGGGTTGGGTTGGGGTGGTTTCGTGGGCGGTGAATATCGGGGGAGGTAGGTGGCCGTCTCCGTCGGGCCTGGCGGCGTCCATCCCCGCCTCGACGGGGCGGGCAGGCGGCGACGAGGAGCCCTGGCCCGCTGGGAGGTGAGAGTGGGTCTGACGATGCTGATGCACAGGGGAGGGTGGGGGCCGACAGGCCCCCCACCCCCTCAACCGGGCATGGTCTCTCCGTGGTCGCCCAGATCACTGGAGCCAACTCCTGAGCCAACACGGCTGCGGGCCGGGAGGGGGATGGAGGCTCGGGCGCGCGCTGACATGGATCACGAAACCGTGGATCTGGCGAGTGGCCGCCAGATCCATGGATCGGGAAAGTACGTACCCCCAGAAACATGGCTAGAGAAACGATTTTTCGCCAGAGCTCAATTATGGGAAATTTGAAAAATCTCCAACACTTGAAAACTGATTGAGCCCAAAATCGGAACTGGAAACCTTCAATCCCGGACTCTCGGGATCGAAATTTTGCAAGTGAAAACTGTCGAAACCAGTCGAAAAGTGAAAACTTCAATCCCGTCCCCCGCGGATCGACAAATTGGAAAACCGTGGGGTTGTCAGCTTTCAAATCAGCGTCCCAATTCTCAATTCTTGGCACCCGGATTGAAAGATTGAGGACCGCTGGGGTTTTACAATTTGTGCACCACTTCACGTCTCAATCCCTGGCCTCCACGCATCAAAGTCCCGCAGCAGCGCCGCGGGCCGCGGGCGGCAGCAAGGCCGCAGGCGGCTGCAGGGGCCCTTGCCGACACAGCGGCGATTGCACTCAGCCGCCTGGCCGATCCCCTTGGCATGTCCTCTCGACCGCCCCGCGCGCCCGATGTCAGCTAGCCGCCTCCAGCGAGCGCATGCGGGGCGGAAGCGCCTGCGGCCCCCGAAGCCCCTCGCCTGAATCGCCACATGGCGTCCAGCCCGTGTTCCCCAGACTCGCCTTGGACTCCCAGGGAGGCTCTGCCAGTCTGGTGGTGTCTCTACCCAGCGCGGCGCGACCTGGAACTCGCCAATCACAGCGCTTTCCCTGGTAGGCCCGCGGCCGAGCATGCCCGATCAAGCTTCTCCTGCCATGTGCGACTCTGTCTCGGAGGGCGCCGGCCCTGCATCCACGGACAAAACCCACGCCTGCCGAGAAGCAGCGGTGCTTCTAAGGTTAAGTCGGGCGTGTCCCCCTACAGGGGGAGTTCCGACGAAAATTAATAAATACCCCATCAACGTTCAACAGATGCCAAAAATACTAAACAAATTGTCCCCAGACGATTTCTTGACTATCTTTGAATCTTCCCCCTGTAGAGGGACAGGCCCGACTTGATTCTAAGGAGCCCCGTGACGCGCCGCCAGGACGCCTCGGAGAGCCTCGCCCCGCAGCCGCTGCCCCCCGGGAGAGGCGGGGAGAGGGAGGGGAAGGGAGGGAGGGAGGCCCGGTCTCCCACAGCCTCTCGAGTCGTGCGGCTCCTGCTCCCTCCCTCCTCCAGGGGAGCCAAAAGTGGCATAAACACAGAAACTCGGAGGTCCGCGCGGACTTCTCGGATCGGCGCTGGGGCCCCCCCGGCGGCGCCTCCAGCGCCGCCCCTGGCGCGCTCCGCGCGCCAGGGAGGGGGGTCCAGCGCCGATCCGAGAAATCCGCGCGGACTTCCGAGTTTTTGGGTTTATGTCACTTTTTGCTCCCCTATCCTCCCTCCTCCCCTCCCTCCCTCGGATCCCGTCTGCCTGCCTGCATGCTCCCGGGCCCCAGGCCGGCGGGTCCCGCGCATTTCTGTGAGACGCGCGGGCGTCTGGCGCGCATGGGGGCCCGTGACACGAGCCTGCGCGCCTCGCCCCGCAGCTGCTGCCCCCCTGGAGGGGTTGGGAGGAAGGGAGGGAGGAGAAGGAGGAGGAGGAGAGGGAGAAGCGAGGGAGGGAGGGGGGGAGACGGGAGGGAGGGGGGGAGACGGAGAGGGAGGAGAAGGAGGAGGAGGAGAAAACAAAAAGGAGGAGAAGGGCGGGAGGGAGGAGAAGGAGAAGGAGGAGAAGGGAGGGAGGGATGGGGGAGGGAGGGAAGGGAGGAGCAGGAGGAGGGCCCCGACGCCCAGAATTCCGCGAGTCGCACGCTGGCTCCCGAGCCCCACGGCCGGGGCAGGGATGGGGGCGGGCAGAGGGGCCGCGGCTCGCGGACCCACGGCGGCCTGAGGGATCGGAGGGGACAGGCCCTCGGATAGCTTGAAGGGGCTCCAGGACACACAAATAAATGCACACAAATACAAATATTCCCCATATTTTCCCATATTTTCGGGGTTTCTGTCTTCCCCCCCACTTCCCATATTTTCCCATCTTTTCTGGAAAATCGAGGATTCATTGTGTCTGTGTGTTTTTTCCTCTCCTGATAGCTCTGATCCCTCAGGCCGCCGTGGGTCTCAGGGTCGACCGCCGAGGCGTCGGGCCTCCCGGTTGCGCAACGATGATCCCCCATAGATCCACACTGTCGCCACCCACCCTGGCGATGGGCGGACCCCCGTCGGCGCTGACCCCCGCCGCGGCAAGATCGTGTCGCGACGACTGTCGCGTTGGTACCTAGCACGGCTCGAACCGTTCGGCCCGGAGCGATCGCGCCCTTCCGGTGGCGCACACGGCCCGACGGCGGCCGCTCCTGGACCCCTGGCGTCGTTGAGCGTTGAACGTCCGCGCTGGGGTCCCACACCTCCGACGTCGTCTTCGACTCACAGCGCGGCTCCCCAGAGGCAGGAGCCCCGTCCTGGGGGCCAGCCTCCCATCTGCGGAGAGTCGCTTTCTGCACGGTTCCGGCGGCCGGCAAGGGCCCCCAGAAGCTGCCGACACACCTCCTGCCGAGCTGCTTCACGACGCGAGGACGTCAGGGGCCGCGGCAGCGTCGCCCGAAGGGCAACGATTGGGGGAGACTGGCCCACGGGGGGCACACCGACCTGGAATCGGTGATGCGTCGCCGACAGGTCGGCGGTAGGCCCCCGACAGCAAATCCATACTTCCAGACGCCTCCCAGACGGGGTCCGAGCACGCGGGGTCGGAGGTTTGCACCGCATCGCTCGGCGATGGCGATGCATCGGCGACGCAGGCGCGGACAGAATCGGGCCCCACATCGGGCCGCATCGCCGATGCATCGGCGATGCGACGCGATCCTCCGACCCCATCTGCTCGGACACCCTTCTGGGAGGCCTACACGTCGGTCGGAAGAAGTAGGTAAAAGCATGAAGTAGGAAGGCGGATTCCAGGCCACCCCAGAGAACAACATCACACAGCAAAAGCGTGCCGATTCTTGAAGTAGGCAGGCGCCTGAAGTAGACTGGGATCTGGGAATCCAAAAACACCTGCTTTCAACGACTGGCGTGTAGGGATACATCGCCGGCAGATCGGCAGCAGGCCCCCGACAGGAGACCCCCACTCTCCCGGGCGGTGGGGCTGCTTCGGGCCCCTGCTTCGGCGAGGAGTGGGCGGCCGGGGGTCGCCGCGTCGCCTCCTGAGCGAACCACCCCTGACGCTGCACCTGTTGGCTCCCTTCCCCCCCCCCCCCTCTCGCTCGATCCTCTCCCTTCCCCTTCGGTGGCAACTCACGTGAGCCTCCAGTGCCATCTTGTCCGCTCTTGCGAATCGACGCGAGCCGACGTGAAATCGGCGCTCATCGACGCCAAATCGACGCTGATCGACGCTGACCGGCGCTAAATCGGCGCTGTCTCGTTGACTCCCAGACACCTATCGACGATAGCCGACGCTAAGGACGGAATTGAGAGGGCATACCAGGCTCCCATGATTTGCTACCGTACCTTCCCATGATAATAGTAGTAGTAGTAGTAGTAGTAGTAGTAGTAGTAGTAGTAGTAGTAGTAGTAGTAGTAGTAGTAGTAGTAGTAGTAGTAGTAGTAAGTAGTAGTAGTATAGTAGTAGTAGTAGTAGTAGTCGTAGTAGTAGTAGTAGTAGTAGTAGTAGTAGTAGTAGTAGTAGTAGTAGTAGTAGTAGTAGTAGTAGTAGTAGTAGTAGTAGTAGTAGTAGTAGTAGTAGTAGTAGTAGTAGTAGTAGTAGTAGTAGTAGTAGTAGTAGTAGTAGTAGTAGTAGTAGTAGTAGTATAGTAGTAGTAGTAGTAGTAGTAGTAGTAGTAGTAGTAGTAGTAGTAGTAGTAGTAGTAGTAGTAGTAGTAGTAGTAGTAGTAGTAGTAGTAGTAGCACTCCTCCACAACTGCCTCCCGTCGGCGCCCCTTGGACCTCCCCAGGGGTGCGTTCTTAGAGGCCTCCTAGACGGGGTCCGAGTAGATGGGGTCAGAGGATCTCGCCGCATCGCCGATACATCGGCGATGTATCGGCGAAGCACCGGCAATGCATCGGCGATGCACCGGCGACGTCGGCGATGCATCGGCGACGTCGGCGTGGGAAAACACGGGCTCCACATCGAACCGCATCGCCGATGCATCGGCGATGCGGCGGGATCCTCCAACCCCATCTACTCGGACCCCATCTGGGAGACCTCGAATTCTGATTAGAATTTCGAAAAGAATCCAGCCGTGGCGACGAGAGCTCTGCAGGACGAACAGCGGTATCTTCTTCTCACCTGGGTCCCTCTCCTCTCCTCCTCCTCTCCCCTCCTCCTCCCCCTCCTCCATAAAATTCCTGCTCCTCAAAAATATTTGGACGCCCGAAATGGGTACCGAAAGAATGGGTACAATGCCCAACAACAAATGTTGTCCCAAACCAACACCAGCCGCTGTTTGGCAGGCGGCCTTCTGTCTCGAATGGACACAGGCCGCGGCGGCGCGGACAGCGAGTCCTGTTCAAAATGAACAGGAACCCCTGTTGGGCATTGTACCCATTCTTTCGGTACCCATGTCGGGCGTCCAGAAAATAACTCCTCCGGGTCACGCCCCGAGGCCGGTCGAAAGGGCGGGCCAGGCGTTTCGCCGGAGACCTCCTCACCGCTGATGACCCCGGACCTTAGAAATTGGCAGCAGCTTCGTAAAGGGATGGAGGGCGGGCCGCTCGCGGCTCTCGCGCCGCGAACAGTCGTCTTGAACATCTGCAAGAGTTTTCAAGTGAATCTGGCGCGACGCGACTCCAAATAAGGGGAAATCTTCCTATTGCATGGGCGCAGTGCTTGGCATTGCTTGGTATTGCTTGGCATTGCTTGGCGTTGCTTGGCGTGAGGCGCCCGGGGAGCCCGGGGAGCCAGGTAAGAATGAGGCACCGGGGGGCGGGCAACATGGGGAACCTGGGGAACCCGAGGGATCTCTGGGGAACGGGCAAAGTAAGCTCCCGAGGCACCAACCTTTCACCATGTAAAAACCACTTTGGCAGGCCCAGTTGGGGAAATGTGGCTCTTGCCTTAGCGCCGCGCACATTCGTCTTCGAATTTGACAGAGCTTCACGAATGGAGGGCGGGTCGTTTTCAAAATGTGGCTCTCGACGTAACGCAGCGCAGATTCGTCTTACAACATTTGTAAGTTCTTCACGAATAGAAGGCGGTCGCTTTTCAAAATGTGGCTCTCGCCTCAGCGCCGCGTACATTCGTCCTAAACATGTGCAAGAGTATTTCGGATTCCCATGGTCAGCGTACCATAAATTTTGTTTTGGAGCGATTCAGGATCTTCAGTGCGCAACAGTTGCGTTGATTCGCGGTGTTGAACTGGCACGATTCAGGATCGTCAGGACAGTCACGTTGATTCGTGGCGTTGGAGCTCGGAGACGGGAGTTCTGGCAAACTTCAAGGCCTTCAAACGGTTGTATTCCAGCGGCGCGCTCCCTTCAATGGAAGTGAATCCTGGTTAGGGGCATCCGAAGAGGGAGCTTGGAGGGAGGGTTTTTGTCCAACATCGCTGCTGGGCCTTGGCTTTACATTAATCTTCCTCCTCCTCCGCCTCCCCCCTGCCACCGACGCCCGGGTGGGGGACCCAGGGCGCGCGCCGGGGGGCACCTCACGAACGCAGGGCGGCCTGCCCGCCGCTACACCGGCGCCGCCTCCAGGGGGGGGGGGGGAGGGGGAAGAGAGCGAGGGAAGAGGAGGGCGAGACGCGGAGGAGGGGGAGGAGGAGGAGGAGGAGGAGGAGGAGGAGGAAAAGGAGGAGAAGTAGAAGGAGGAGCAGGAGGAAGGAGGAGGAAGAGGAGAAGGAGGGAGGACACGGGCGGAGGAGTGCAGTGGAGGAAAAGGAAGGAGGGCGGAGAAGAAGGAGGCCTCCCTTTCTCCATCCTCCCACCAGTGCGCTTCTGATTGAGCTGCTACAGTCGGTCTTGATTGGAGAGGACACGCGAGAGGACACAAGACCCTTCCGAGGGCCACATCGTCATTGGAGTGTAAGAAGGCACGTGTCGCGAGGCACAGGACACAAGGGTAACCTTGAGTGGGCAGGGTCGACCTAGTAATCCGGGCCGACTGTAGTCGAGGACCCCCCTTGAGGCCTTTCGTTCGTCGCTTCGAGCCCTCTTGGGATACCTTGGAGGCGCATGGGCCACCTTGGGCGCCTCCCGTAGCCCTCTTCTAGAATATTGGCGGCCGTTGGACGCTCTCGGGCCTCTTCGTGCCTCTGGAGGCCACAAAATCACAGACTTTTAGGAATGGAGCGCTCCACACTCTGAGACCAGGCCCGCCGCTGTACCCGTACTAAAGGGTCGGGACCCGCTTCGCTTCGCTGCGCGCTTTCGTCAGGCGTTATGGTCGACAGCGTAACTGAGGAATCGCACTCTTCACGACACCTTGCCCCCTGGCACGTCGGGGAGTGTTACAATGCCAGCGGTGCCTAACTGGAGTCCCAAAAATTCCTTGCCTGCCGCATCCTCCTTAGTTTCGCTCCAGCGCTATGAACGCCCAGGTTTGGCCAGGACGCCGGCAACACAGGCAACGGAGCCCGAATAGGGCCCCATTGTGCCTCCGATACAATCCCAAACACGGAAGCCCCAGAAATTCTCAACAGGCTCCCAGAAGGCCCTAACGCAATGCCAAATTCAATAGGCAAATGGTTTCGCGTGCTGTGTGGCACGTGCTTCATGCTTATTCCGCGCATCACGGACTCTTGTTTCCAATGTCTGGTCCATGCTGCAGTTGCCTCTTTTCTGGTATCCTGGAATGTGCTGTACGGACTCCTGGCAGTACGGATGGGTCCACTGCTAGTTATCAGCAGCCTCCCAAGGAAAGGCGTCGGAACAGGCCGTCGATCAAATGCCTATCTGATTAAATACGAAGCCCACGCAACATAGCAAGGCAATGCCCAACACCATCTGGCAACAACAATTCGTGTTCTTCTCGTAGCGCATCACTTCTGTGATCTTTTTATTCAACAGCTGCATGTCCTTCTCCGCCTGTGCGACATCCTCGTTCATGTTCTCAGCCCTCTGCCGCATGTGGTCCGCAGAGATACCTGTGACCGGGACTGGCACCCTCACCTCCCATTTATCCCAGACAAACACGGCCGGCCCAAACTCGGGCCTGCAGCTACGGGGTTCAGCGAACCAAAGCGCGATGCCGACAGACCTCGCAAGAGGATCCAGAGGTCCTGCGCGGGATGGGCACGTTCGTTTCTACCCGTGCCGGTTTCTCATGGTGCCCCTGTCTAGTTGCTCTGGGCCACGGTGGGCCAAAGAAACCATCAAAAGATCAACCAATTACGACAACGCTCTGGGCCCTTCACGATCGATCCTTCATTTAACAACTGTAGCAAACGAACGAAGTGTAACAACGACGCACTGTTCGGAACGATTTTGCTCCAGGCTCGCCTATCTGCCTTGCGAGGGGGTCCAGACGTTCTACCACGAGGCCGAGCTCAGCGACCTCCTTGTCCAATTCCTCGTCCCGCCTCTTCATGTGCTCGAGGGCGGATCTCTCCTGTGGCCGATTGGAAGCCAACGCGCTCGGCAAGCCAAGGGAGACACGCTCCGGACGGCTTGTGGTCATAGTCTCGCCACCGATCTATGTTTATCCGTGCGTTCGCACATTCGAACTCAGCGCACAGCTTCTAAAGGGGCGTACGGTCCCCATCCCCCACTGGCGCATGACACAACCATGCATGGCTGGGCAGACTGTTTTGTGTTATGATGGCCGCCTCCAGACTGGAAGCTCGGTGCCAGCTCGATATACCCCGCAACAGGATACGCATCTTGAATTCGTCGCGCACACCTGCGGATGAGCAAGCAGACCGCGGAACTTGCTCCACCAGCGCGGCCAAAACCGAAGCCACGCTCACTGTAATCCACCCTGCTAACGAATGGTGCAGGCCAGCGGGCTTCCGCTGGCGGAGCCGCCGCCGTTCCGCTTCCGCCGCCTTCCGCCGAGGGCGGGGGTGCGACGACGGCGAGCCCCTTTCGGGAACGCTCCAGGTGAACAGCGGAGGAAGACGAGGGGGACTCAGGGTTGTGGATGCCACGACACTGGACACCCTAACAGACTGATCATTGAATTTACAATGTGATTAACATATGGGGAACATGTCCAAAGACATGTGTTCTACATGTTTAAAACATGTGTAACACATGTTTTAGACACCTGGAAGTTGTTGGGTAACATGCTTCCTCTCCAGTGATCGTCCTCCACACACACAGGGGAGGAACTGGCTGCAGGCAAGAGCGGCCCTGGGCAGACGTGGCACAAGCAATGGGTGCGCGGCCTGCCGATCTGCCTCGGGGATCTTCTGACCCGGGCCACTCCAGACCCGGGCCAGAACAAAAAAACAAATCCTCCTCCTCCTCCTCCTCCTCCTCCTCCTCCTCCCCCTCCTCCTCCTGCAGAATCCTGCATGATCCTGCTCCGAAACCCGGGTCGACGCGAAGGATCCTGCAGGACCCTGCAAGATCCTGCACCCAAGCCCGGGTCGATGCAACCCTGGCCCTGCAGGATCCTGCAGGACCGGGCGCTCTGGCTGACCCAGACCCTAGGAGAGACCCTTTGGAAAGACCCTTTTGCACCACAGGGCGGCTGAATCTGGCCGCCACGTGTGCCCGCGAGAGCTCCCCACCCACCCACCCTTGAACAAAACAACGCCACGCTCGTCCTCTGCGAGATTTCCGCTCTCGGAGCTGGGCGCCGAGGCTTCTGGCCTCGACTTCGTTCACGCAGAAACTCTGGAGGCAACCTGCCAGGCAAACGTTGTGCCTGACCTCCGTCCCTGAGCCCACGTGGGCCGCGGCAACGTTGGGAAACACTGGTGGGCCTCTCGAGTACACCCGCAAACAGCATGCGAGCCTGGCCTCCTGGTGACTGCCACGGCCCAGCTGTCCAAAGACGGTTGGGATGCTTCAGCTTGCAGGACATGGTGCCACTGTGGCGTAGCTTCCGCACGAAAGCCAAAACAGGAGGGGCGGGGCCCCCTCCTGCAGCACAGGGAACTCGAGTAACGGATGGCCCCCCCTGTCTCGATGGTACCTCTGGGGTCTGGGCTGCGGCCTCCCAGGGGTGGGTTCACCTCAGGGCTTCCGAGAAGGGCTTCGAGGGGGGCGGGCTCAGCAGCAGCAGCAGCCCTCCCCTCCTCCTCAGCCTCCTCCCTCCTGGCCTCGTCGATGTCCTTCCCGAAACCTCCACTCTCCAGAGAAATCGGAGTGAGCCCCCGGGCTCCGACATTGTCGAAACAGTCCTCCTCGGAATACAAACCGCAGCCCTGGTTGTGCAGTGCAGCACCAAACGAAGAGCGAACACCATACCTGTTGCGAACAAGATGTCGGCTTCATCATGTCTACTGAGCAACGCGCCCCTCTTCGCGAGCCTGTCGGCTTCATGGCTGCCTTGCCCCTCGACCTTCGAAAGGCGCCCTTCCCGGACGTCAACCTGAATGGAGTGACCCCCAGACCTTTCGAAAAGAGCCCCTCGAGAGATCCCTCTCCGAAAAAACTGTTCGCCACAGGTGGGCACGGACATTGGCCGATAAGAGGAGGAGGAGGAGGGGGAAGAGGAGGAGGAGGAGGAGGAGGAGGAGGAGGAGGAGGAGGAGGAGGAGAGCGATAAGGAGGAGGGAGGAGGGGTTTTGTGAGAAGTGGGAGGGGAGGGGGGGGGGGAGGGGAGGGGAGGGGAGGATGAGGGAGGAGGAGGAGGCGGAGGAGGAGGAGGAGGAGGAGGAGGAGGAGGAGGAGGAGGAGGGAGGAAGGGAGGAGGAGGAGAAGGAGGAGGAGGAGGGGGAGGAGAAGGAGGAGGAGGAGGGAAGAGGAAGAGGAAGAGGAGGAGGAGGAGGAAGAGGAGAAGGAAGATGAAGAGGAGGAGGAGAGGTGGAGGAGGAGGAGGAGGAGGAGGAGAGGAGGGGGAGTATCGAACGCTACGGTCCCAGCTGACCCAAGTCTGTCGAACGGAGGGGGAGAGGAGAGGCGAAGCCAGCTCCTCATCGGTGAGGCCCCGCTTGGAATTCTCCCCGCTCGCTGGAGCGTATGCCGCCGAGCGCAGGCCGAGCAGCTGCGCGGCGGGCTCGCTGCCCGCACCGGCGCCCTCGGCGCCGGAGCGCAGGAACAAGTCGTGGACCTCGTCCACGTGCCTCTTGAGTCCACCAGGCCCGCGGGAGGCGGGAGCTAGAACGATCTCGGCTGCGCCTTGTCGAAAGTTTCCAGACGTTTTCGTGGGTTTCCTGGAGTGTTCTTTGGTTTAATATCCTCGATGACGCCCGTGACCGGCCCCGCCCCTCTCCGCGCCCTTCGTTCCCGAAAATTGCGCCGGCGCGAGTCGTGACGTAATCAGCCCCCTCCCCCCCCCCTCCCCCTGGTCACGCCCGTGATGGCCAGAGGATATACAAAGACGGTCTCCCGGAGGCTCGCCTCCCCGTGATGAGTTCCTGCAGCTGCGCCTCGCCGAGAGCGGATCGTCCCGACCGGCCGTTGGAAGCCCGAGTCACGACCCGAAAGCCGAGTGGCCCTCGTCCGCGTGCCTCGCGAGTCCGCGGGCCTGCAGGGAGCGGCTACCCGAGAGGCGTGGCGACCCCCTGCGTAGATTCAAACATGGACCCCCCTTTTCCTCTCTCCTCCTCCTCCTCCTCCTCCTCCTCCTCCTCCTCCTCCTCCTCCTCCTCCTCCTGCTCTTCCTCTTCCTCTTCCTCCTCCTCCTCCTCCTCCTTCTCCTCCTCCTCCTCCTCCTCCTCCTCCTCCTCCTCCTCCTGGTGAACCCATCGGCCTCGGGCGGCGGTCTGCGGCGGACCAGATCCTCCTGACGGTCTGCGGCGGACCATCTTCGGACGGTCGTCGGCGGCGCTCGGTGGTGCTCGGTACCTGGCGGTCTTCGCGCATATTTATCCCCCCCCGGTTGTATCCGCAAGCTTCCTTCCTTTCCTGAGCAGCCAGGTCTTCCAAGGGGACCTCGGGGATTGGGGGCGAGAAATCGCCTGCGCAGAGCGGTCAGCACCGGATCGACAAGCCGAATCGGCCCAGATCGTGCATCGAGTCGCGCCGCAATCGGAACGAAGCCGAGATCGGATTGGATCGGCCGCGTCAGGATACATAACAACAGCAAGCAATCATCGGGCCGCATCGGAGCTCCAGGTTTATCATAATCGAATCGGATGGAGCAGGCCAGAAACCATATCGAATCGGATCGATCGGATCAACATGGCCCCTGGCAGGGGGCCACCAGGTGGCAACGAGGCACGATCAGACCCTGCTTCCTCTTACCCAACGCGCAGCGTAGATGAACTTGTCTCGGCCTGGCTCTTTATATCTTGACTTACGCACAGCTGATCTTAGTCTGTGCCGAGTGGAACTGATCGCACGTGCAAATAATGCTCAACTGAATTTCGCACTCTGCTTCCCAAATTGCAAAACCTCAGGCAAACACCGTTAACCATAATCAGTAAAACGACAACAACAAGACCCGATCCATGTGCAAAGACCCAATACCACATCCGGCACTCGCCTTCATCCTTGCCATCATGTACTCCTCCGAACAAACTGGGCGGGAGACAGCGGTTCGCCGCAGGCACATTAGATATCCGGATGTCTTTGTAGCGTGCCTGGAGTTCCTCCTGCTTCCTGCCAGCCGAGCGCTTGCCCTGCGCCTTTTTATGCAGTTCCTGGAGCCTCGGCATTGACTGCCTTAGTTCGTCCAGGCTCTGTCTAATGGCGTGACCTTTCTGGATCGTCTCGAAGCAATTGCCTCTCTTCTTGAGCAGAGCCTCGCGATCATGTATATCACCACGCGATGACTCCAGCAGAGTGTAGACCCGACGTTTCACCCGTAAGAACTCGTCCTTCTCATGAGCCGCGTCCTTCTGGGTTTTCTCGCCGCATGCTTCTGCGATGGCCTCCAGACGCCTGATGAGCTCGGACATGCCATGAAGCTGTGTCGACATCGTCTAGAGCCTCTGCTGGACGCCTGCCCAAAGCTGCACGCTCGCGCTGTATGCCCGCGCGGCGTCGCGCGGCGGGCCTGCGGTTGCCGCTGTGGGGACTGGCGCAGAACACGGCCAACCAGCTCAACCAGAGCAGCACTGAGATCGTGCGAGCTGGGAGCCAAGATGGCTACGGACCTCCTGGGTCATGTGACCTCGGGCTTCGCGCTGTGCGACGCGGGGATATGCTCGCGCTCTCTAACAACTCACCATTCAGGGCCAGACCGCGAAGCGCCATCATCGTCGCGCCGACGTGGAGGCCCTGGGCTACGAACATCGTGCCGTGGACGAGTGCTCTGGACTCGCCGCTCTTACTACTCAGCGAGGGACTCCCCTCCCTGCCGCAAGGGCCTCCCCTTTCAGACAGACGGTGACGAACTGCCAGGTCTGGCGGGTGACCCATCGAGCCTAGAGAGAGATACACCAGAAGACATGCAACACTCCATACGCACACGTCGTTCATTTCTAACCGTGCTCATTTCTAAGTGTGCTCGTTTCTAAGTATTCCTGGCCCCTTGCGGCCAGGAAGAGGCCCAAGATAGAACAATTAGAACTGAAAGGATCTTGGTCCACCAAACAGCAAAGACCTTTCGAACCATCAACCATGAACCATGTGTACATCTTTCGTATTGCCCATTTCCAGTTTTGTTCAGCGCAAAATGTAAGGGGAAAGATGGAATCGGACACCTCCACGCAATGATAGTTGCTTAGAGGTGAGCCCGTGCGTTGTAACAGGCCGTGTGCTGTGAACGCATGCCGTGTCCCGCTGCTCCAAACGTTCGCATCGTCGAGATGGCCATGCGCCACAGTGCCCCATGGCACGCTGGGGCGTGGCAGCAAGCCAAGTGCTGCCTGTTTGGATTCCTGCACGTGCTCCAAGAGCTCACCCCCCCGCCACTGGCCACACTCCGTCGCATGCACCACCCTCACCTCTCGAGGCTACCTGGGCGTCCCGACGCGTCTCCGTGGCCGCCGCCCTCGACGGCCCTCCCAGGCCTCCAGGACGGCCCGGGAAGGCCACGACGGCCGCCAGTGTGGCTCAGCAGTGCATCAAGGAGGGCTCCTCCTGCGCCTCGGAGGCCCCGACGAGCAGGCCGGGAGGCCCACCAGGAAGGCCATACTCAGCCAAGAGCCCGAGGGGAACCCGTGGGCCGCTGAGGACTCTGAGAACGTCCTGCGCCCCTCGGCCACCAACGGTGCCAAGAGGCCCCCCCGAGGGAGCCAGGGAGGGGCCAAAACGAGCCCAAGGAGGGTGCCAAAAGACCCCCTGGGTGCCCAGGACAGCTCCAAGGGGGCCCGAGGACGGCCCAGAGGGTCCAGGACGGGTGCCCAGGACAGCCAAAGAGGGCCCCAGCATGGGCCCAAGAAGGCCCCAATGAGCTCATGGTACAATGCGAGCAGCCGAGATGGGCCCAAGGTATCACCAAGACAGCTCAGAAGCGCCCAACGATGGCTCCAGAGGGTCCCAAGAGGACCTCAAGAGGGCCAAAAGGGGACACCACGAGAACCGAAGACGGACCCAAGACGGCCCACGTGACCCCCATGAGAACCTCCCACGGAATCTAGAAACAAGAGGTGCCACCTTGCGAAAGCGCACACGTACCACTGGCAAACCAACGATATCACATCATACAGATCACAGGTTTGACATTGTCAATTGTTGTACTGTGCGATGTCACATCGTACGGCCGTCTGGGCGGTGCCCGAAGCGTCGCCACGCCGAGCGCTGCTCTGGCACGGCTGCGGGACGTGCCGCCGGACAGCTGGATGATGCACCCGTGGAGCGGGTGCGCGATAAGCGAGGGCACAAGCCGCAGCAACACAATAGTCGGGTGGCCACGCGATGGCTGTAGCGGCAGCCCTGCGACGGGAACTTGTGGGGCACCGCTGGGGCAAGTAAGAAGCAACTGTGGGGTGGCAATGCGTCGAGCACAGGGAGCTCGGGTTCCTCGTACAACTCAAACGCGCTAAACACTAATCATAGAATAGCCCTCGGGACGCAATGAGAGGGCAGCTGCTGGTAGCTATATCATTCAGATAGGGTGGCAATGGAAAGGCTGTGCTATATCATCACGCGCTGGGTATATCAGAGTGACGGGGCCGACTGGTCTTTCACTGTCTCTGGGTGCGTGGCTGAAGCAGGCTTCCGCAGTGCGGATTGTTGAACTCTCACTTTTGGCAAATGATTGCTGTTGATCTCCCCCCGCCATTGCACATTCGGTTGTTTCAATTGAAGTGCCCCCCTCGGGGCCCGCATTCTGTTTTTAAAGTAGGCGAAGTCGTCGTGCTCAAACTGTGCTGTTGGACCCCGGTTTATAACAACAGCGGCCCCCGCCTGGTACTTCACAACGAATTGAGGCATGGCGCTCTCGCGCGAGACTCCCTCACAAGGTGTGCAGGAATTGGCACTCTCACGTGGGACTCCCTCGCAATTTATTCAGGCGCCGCGCCCTCGAGACTCAGCAATCACGCTCTCGCGTTGGCCTTTTCTCACGATGTACTTGGGCATCGCGCTACCGATCGAGGCATTCTCGAGATTCATGCAGGACTCACGCTTCAGCACCCCGCCTGCTCGACCTGGCCGCCTGGGCCCGCCTTCCCGACCCGTCCGCTGAGGGTCTGCCCGCCCGATCTGCCCATCTGGTTCTGCTACTTGTGTTCTGCGCCTAGCCACCCTCTTGCAAATTTCTCTCGTGTTCCATACTTCCATCCGTCCTCTCTCCCCCTGTTTTAGGCTGCGCTACATGCGCGTGGCTGGTAAGGAAGATGTACCCCCAAAGGGGGTTACGATCGAAGACGAAGAAGGCGGGTGCCGAGGGTTTGGGATATACGTGTTGAGTGGCACGCCAGCAGATGGGAGCGAATATGTTTGGAATGATTGGTGTTGTTGTTACTGATGTTGCTGTTGCTGGTGATGCTGGTGCTGCTATTGCTGTGTTGGTTGGTGGTGTTATTGTTGCTGTTGTTGTCGTTGTTGTTGTTGTTGCTGCTGTTGCTGTTGCTGTTGCTGTTGCTGCTGCTGTTGCTGTTGCTGTTGCTGTTGCTGCTGTTGTTGCTGTTGCTGTTGCTGTCGCTGCTGCTGTTGCTGCTACGGTTGTTTGTTGTGTGTTGCGTGTTGTGTGTCGTTGGTTGTGTTGTTGTTTGTTGCTTGCTGTTGGTTGTGTAATTGTTGTTTATTGTCCTCGTTCCCCCGCGACCCGGCCCGCGACCCACCCGGGACCCACCCACGACCCACCCGCAACGCACCTGCTACCCTCCCCACGACCCACCCGCGACTCGCCCGCGACCCACCCGCGACCCACCCCGCGCCCGCCCCCTCACTCTCATCCGCAACTGCGGGGTGCTACAATACTGTAACGCACGACGCGGGATGGATGAGAACACATACGTAGTCAAAATACCAGCGGCGACGCAATCTGGCGACCCAGTTGGAACGACAGTGGTCCCCAACTGATCTGTGAACGCCGTCCCGAGCGGAAGCGGCACAAAAGCGGAATCTGCCCAGGACAAGTATAACCAGCCTCGAACTGATCCCTATCCCTAAGATGGGCGAGCGAAAAGCGAGAAGAATCTTAGGGATGTGCCCTCAGAAACTGTAAGAATCCTTAAGATCGGCATCGAGGTGAGGTGATGCCAAACACATCAAACTGGTGAAAGAACCACCGTCGTACTCTGCGCCCCAGTCTGGCGGGGTGGGTGGGGGGTGGGGGCGGCGGAGCTTTTTGCAACAAAAGACTACATCGCGCCTCCCCCGTTCTACTGTCAACCAACCACATGTGCACCCTGCCCCTGCAGGTCAGATTTCTTGAACAAAAGGGCCAGGGTCAGAGTGCGAAGGATGTCTGCAGTCCAGCGATACCCAGCGGGATGGTGTCGATACCCCAGGGCCGGTTGGATCCGTAAGGGCAGGCAGCGTTATCCGTATTCGTTCCTCCTATGAGTGTGTGTACTTATATATATATATATAGATACGGTAGGGAACTTTTGCTTAGAGCATCGCTGCGGCGGCCCCGGCGACACGCAACGCCTTGCGAGCGGACAGCGTGTCGCTCCGTCCCGCGGGGCGGGGTGCTGGGAAGAGCTTGGGGCGTTGACGGCTGGGGACCGGGACGTGGATAGCGTGCCGTGCCGAGGCGTGGCAGGCTGCACCAAGCCTTCCTGCCAGCACAATTCAATGCATCTCCTTTCCTCCACTCCACCGCGGCTCGCCTCGCCCACCACTGGTGCTCCGAGCCCGGCGCATGCGCGCTTACGCGAGATAAGCCCGTCTGCGACGGGATTGTTCGAAGGGTCCACGGCTGATTACTCCTTTTGATTCTCACGCGCCAGCTCATTTGGCTTCGCGATGTCGACGTACAAAATCGCGTCAGGGCCCCCCACAACCAGGACATTGAAAACCGGGGCATCAAAAAACACTCTACGGTCGGGGAACTTTTGCATAGCGTGTCGCGGCGGCGGCCCCGGCGACACGTCATGCCTTGCAAGCGGATAGTGTGTCGCTCCGTCCCGCGTGGCGGGAGGCTGGGAAAGGCTGGGGATGTTGACGGATGGGGTCCGGGACGTCCGCGTGTCGCGCCGAAGCGTGGTGGGTCAGAACCGGCGGAGCGACATGCTAACCGAATGTTCCCGACCGTGGCTGGAGAGAACGCAGAATGCAGAGTATTTCGACCTAAGGCTGCAGTTTTCCCGGGCAGGCCAATGTCCTGGTTCATCGAAGTCCACGTTTCAGGGGCCCTGGTCGAGGCCCTGTGGCGCAAACCCGGACGCGGTGGACGCGGACATAGCGGGGGGTGTCCAAGAGGGGGGGGGGGGGGGGCAAATCATGACCGGCGGCATGTGCGCGGCCCAGCGGGGGGGCCAGGGACGTCATGAAATAAGCAAGAGGCGCCATGAAATCTGGGGAAATATCATGGCCCACGCCGTGATATCCACCCCCCCCTAGACAATTGCCCAATATGAAGAATACTACTCTCCCTCTTCCCCTGATGACGGCTTGGGAATATTCGACCCCCCCCGCGTACTGTTTTTTACACACAGGTTTCCCCGGAGTTGGGTTTTCGCCTGCATTTTTTCAAACATGCTGCTCTCGCTGAGGCGCCGGCCTCATTTTCGGGCCCCGCTCCTTCCGAATC